GGTCTGGTTTGGTCTCCATGAAGATTTGAAGATGAAGGTTTAATCCCATGCTGTGAAACATTACAGACAAAGCGATAACATCTCCATAGAGAAAATCATTTGACGGATCCTCCACCTGAAAAGTTACACAATCCACCTTTATGAAATAGCCTGAGACTTTCACATGTTTAAAGGGACAGTTTGGAATTTTGGACATACAAACTCATTTCCTAGTGAGCCAGAGTGTTGGAGACGTGTGGAGACATGTTTGTAAATATTCCATCCAGTCCTTGTATTTACAGAGGTCGCTGGTGCTAGGCTAGTGCATGTCAATGGCCATAGTTATCCTGTCACTAAAACTTGTCACTGTCTTACCCACTCTACAATACACCTGAAGCAAAACAATTATAACACCAGACTGTTGATGTAAATGTCTCAGAATCATTTAGAAGTAAAACCAACCTTGCATTTGGAGGATTTATGTCTGAGCAGCAGCAGTGAGTTGTACTTCCTGACAGAAAGCTCAGCAGCGGCAGACTGATATGTGAGAAAATGATCCCTCAACATGCGAGTATTCATGTGATGCAAGGTTAGTTTTATTTCAAACATTATTCTAGCAACACAGACATTTACATTGACAGTCTGGAGTAATAATAGTTCTGCTTCGGGTGTTTTGTGGAGTGGGTAAGACTGTTTTTAGTGACAGGATAACTATGGCCATTAACATGCACTAGCTTAGCAGCAGCGACCTCTGCAAATACAAGGACTGGATGGAATATTTTTTAAAAGTGTCTCCACACGTCTCCAACACTCTGGCTCACTAGAAAATTAGGTACCGTGTCCAAAATTCTGAACTGTCCTTTTAAGACGGTCAAGTTCAGATACAACACCCTGATGATTTTACTTCCTGCTTGGACATGCATTTTGGATGGAAATTTGTGTATTGATGACATTATAGAGGATTTTCAACTTTTTTCTCAGCTTCTCTTGACAATCTGTCAATTAATGTAAAACTAACTAAAATCAGGTAGGGTTGTCAAAAATACAGAAAATCAGATACTAATCGACACTAAACTTGTATCAAAATTAGATAAAAAATTTTCGCCATACTAAAACAAGTCACATTCATGGGATAGAAATTAAGTTTTCCTGAAGTATAAGAGCACATAGACTAGTACACACCCATGGACCACTATGGAACCTACCTGGACCACTGAGGGATTGCACAGATACAAGGACACATGGGAGTAGAAAAGAAAATACTGCAATTTAATGTTGAAAATCATATTCTATTGTCTCAAGAAAGAGGTTTTTTATTATTGTGGTATCAGAACTGTATTGAGTATCAAAATCAGTTACATATATCTGTTATAATGTTCTTTCCTCATCAAAACAGACCTGGAGTTGTGTTTTGTTTCATTCAACACACATATCCTGCATATTTAGGCTGAGTTTTTCTCTCAAACTGAGAACAGGAAGTGCTCCACGGTGTTTTTAAACTCCATACACCTTCACTAGAATCATTTAGATCATTTCAGCCCTGGAATTCCCAATCTTTACTGAACCAAAGGTAAAAAGGTAGCTGTTCACTTGAAAACTACCGCGACTGAAACAAAACATGAAACACAAGGTCTGTTTTTGAGGTAACAGCATTCTAACACGATTTAAACCTCACAAGAGTCCATTTTGGGTAATAAAATGATTCTAAATAACACTTCTTGATGGCTGCAGTTACCATATTTTCAAAAACACAAGTTACATTTTCAAGACCACAAACTCTGCTTTTTATTGTGCAGTGGAGGCTGTACTCATTATTATTATTGGGGCTTACACAGTGCTAGAGCGTCAGAGATGTGTGAAATTTGACAATAGTTCTCCTTAAAACCAGCCGTAATGTTTCTGAGCCTTGTAAAACGCGCTGGTCCGAGCACAAACATGTAAATCAATGTTTTATGAGAAATATCCACAACAACTGCAGAGGTTTTAATCACACTGGAAAGATCCACGTTGCCAGGAAACATTTTGAGTCCTGATGGAGCTGGCACGGGCTGCTATGGGTCGGAGTGAACCCAAAAAGTTGCACCAAAAACAGCGAAAACAGCTCTGAGAAGATCTGAAAAGAAGTTGAAAGGCCTATATTATGCAAAATTGACATGCATTGTGTAACTTTCACTGGGAGGGTCCGCCACCTGCTTGTGTCTGTGATGACATTATTGCTTTGTCCTGAATATTCCACAGTATGCAAGTAAACTTATCCAACTGAAGTTGTTTTTATTGCTCAAAAATACCTTTAAAACATGCATCATTATTGTCAGTGCCGTCATCTCTCCATAAATCTGGCCTGTAATGTAGCTAGCTGGTGTCGCACGCTTGTTTTAATGGAAATAGACAAGTCTAATACCATATTGTGGCACATTCCAGACAAAACAACTACATCTCTATGGAGACAAGGAATGAGTTTTCAAGTAAACAGCTATCTTTTGCCTTTTGTTCAGTAGAGATTGGCAATTCCAGGACTGAAATCATACATTTGATTTTAGTGAAGGTGTATGGAGTTTAAAAACACAGTGAAGCACTTCCTGTATTTCCACATGCCATCACAAGGTGGAATATGCCTAAATATGCAGGGTTTGTGTGTTAAACATGTGTGAATGAAAAAGAACATAACTCCATTCATGTTTGTGATGAGGAATCAACGTTAGAACATAGATCAGAAAAAAGTATAACATGGGCCCTTAAAGTAAAGTATTTTTCAGACTGTAAGTTGCACTTTTTTCATGGTTTGGATGTTTCCTGCGACTTATACTGCAGTGTGACTTATCTATTAAAATTTTCACACTGACAGCCTCAAGAGGGCTCCAGTCTTATGTGTCAGTATCTCCTGCTCCTGTTCCTCCTGTACCACTGTCACTTGGCTCTATTGCGCATGTCTCCTGCAGAAAGAGCCTCTGTCCTGTCTGTATCATGTCAGTCGATTGCACCATTACATCTGTACCATTGAAAATTTAAGATTTAAGTGACTTCATTGACAACCAAAACTGTCTTGTCAGGATTCAGAAAGGCCAGAATAATTCTAACTGGCACTGATGCTGAGTCTGACGACAGCTATGCAGAAGGGGAAGCGGGGCTCCGTTTACCTCCGGAGGTCGTGGAGTTGCTCAGAAGTGACACGAGGATGAAGAATTCAATGGATTTAGTGATTTGGAGTGAGATGGAGAGTTTGGTAAACTTGTTCTGTTCTGTTGTTTATGTTATAGTTTATCTGAAGAACTGTTCATATGTGACATTAACAGTCTGTTTAACATTAACAGTCTGTATCTTCTATTGTTATTACTAGAACTTGACTTTCAAGATGAAATGTCAGTGTCTTGTCTCTAATTTTATAAAATACATTTCCCCCAAAAGTGCGACTTATAGTCCAGTGCAACTTATATATGTTTTTTCTTCATTACGCATTTTTTGGCTGGTGTGATTTATACTCCGGAGCGACTTATAGTCTGGAAAATACTGTAATTATGCTCTAAAGTGGGTCTGCACGATTTTGGAAAATATCTTAAATTTTCTGACAAACATTGTGGTTACGATTTTGGACGAAGAATTGACAAAAAGACTGAAATATGAACTGACAATCTAATACAAGAATCACATTTCAGAACGTGTTTGTACAGATGTAAACTACAGGGTTAGCAATTTTTATGTGGATTAAGACTGGAGATTTTATTGTTTGTGGAGGAAATTATGGTACTTAAAATATTGCTGCCTTTGCGATTTGCTAATTGCGTCCATTCAAATTGTGATTTCAGTTTGATTCCGATCCATCATGTAGCTGTGCTATGACCAATCTACTGTTTGAATTCAGTTTTAGTTTTAGTTTGTGAAGGAAAGATGAGAAAAATATGGAAAATTACAATAAGTAGTTTCAAGTTTTGAAAAGGACTCTCCCAACTATTAATGGACAAAATTCCGATAAAAATGTACTGACAGTATATGAAAGGGACATATCTGATCGTTTAGTAAAGGCACAGTATGTAACCTTTTAGCCAAAAAAAAAAAAAAAAGTTAAATAAAAGCTTTTTTTTCCATTTTGATGATTTCATTGCACTGAAATTCATGAAAACATGTGTCCTTACTGTGAGTGGTCTTGCATCTCCACAAACCTGACTCTTTCCATGGAAATGTTGTTTTTTGACTATAATATTCCACAGTATAGCATAAAACCTGTTGATCTGTTTTGAAGTATGGTTTTAATTTGCTATTTCCATAGAATCTTGCAGGTCATGTGACAAGCACTGATACTGACTATTTACAGGCTGATTTTGTCCTAGAATGTTTCAGGTTTGAACTTTTCTTCATACAAAGTGGTTCTGTGGTTATTTGAAGGTTAAATAACAGTTACATAATGCTATTCGATCTTTGTGTAATAAGTTAACAGTGTTTTAAAGGGCCACTAAACACCAAAACCACTTTTTTCTTCTAATTAACCATGGCGTTATTTTGGCATTTTAGTGCATATTTGTTCAAAAATCTGTCTTTTGGGTCTGTACCATTTTGGATTGTTGTGGCTCTCAGTCAGCTGTCAATCACTGCACCAGAGCCCACCCCACACTCACTCCCCCCAGACTCACCAGACACAGCCCACTCTGGAGCATTTTTCAGATTTTGCTTAGGGGTGGAGTAAAGCTTCAGGACGGTGTTTAGTGGACCTTGAAGGAGATAAGTGCCATTTTCTGTTCCTACACTGGTATTGGTTAATATCGGGTATCAGCAAATACTTAAAGCCAAAGGATTGATATAGATATCGGAACTGAAAAAGGTGGATCGGTGCATCCCTAGATGTGACACCCCCATATTGCACCTTTCAACAAACACTTTATACATTTGAAGGCGCAGTATGTAATAGGGCGTCCAAGTGGTTTAAAATGTGTTTTGTTTGAGTCTAGAATATAGTATATACTTTTTTAACACATATTTCTAGTTTGATCACAAAGCTCAAGTTTACCCTGTTTCTTTTGTCATTTCAGACAGCCACCTTCGCTCCATCTCCATCCCGAGCCCCCCAGCCTCATCCAATCAGAGAGCAGCGTTGTCTCCGTCGTCCAATCAGAGAGCAGGGATGCACTCTCCTCCTCCTCGCAGGGCCGTGGTCCGAGAGTTCAGTGGGACCTATGAGAGTCTGCCAGCACGATCTGTACAGGTGAGAGGGACCAAATCTCAATAACTTCTACAGTGTTAAATTGTCTTATAACAATATGGACTAGTACTATACTCACAACTAGGGCTGGGCGATATGGATCAAAAAATATATCTCGATATATTTTGCTATATCTCGATATACGATATATATCTCAATATATGTTCAAGAAAAAATAACCCCCTAAAACTGAAAACTGCAAAAACAAATCTGCCAAATTCCACAAGGTCCTTTTTTTTATATATAGGAACATTTAAGATTACAAAAAACCCTAATTACATAAATAATTTAACAGTAAAATTAAATAAATAATACATATTTCCTTCTTTTCATTCATAAATAAAACAACTCAACACAAGATCATCTTTGCATTAACTCTGTTATCCAAACCAGAACCAGAACCATGAGCTCATTTAGCAGAAGAAGCTCAGGATGTTCCTTATTTTAATAGATCCATGTTCCTGACCAGCAGTAAGGAGCTCTGAGGTTTAATCCCACAATCCACTGCAGATCAAACCCAACGTTTCCAAACACTGTTGTTCAAGTTACACTGCAGCAGATGATTAATTAAAATATTTTGCATAAAACAACTTTACATTGCTAAACTTTACAACATATAAAGCATAATGACTCTAGAGCCACATCAGCCCGTTTGAGATAAGAATGTGTTTAATGCAGTTTTGCGAACGTGTGTTTACATTTTACAGAAACGAAACTTAAGCGCATGGCTCATTTGCATAAACATAAACAGCGCACTTCTCACGCAGCTCAACTCGTTTAGCTTCTTTCGGGCTAAAGGACGCGACTCAGTGGAATATGAGGATGTGCTGCTGATGGTTTTGTCTGTAAATGATGGAAAAGGTTCGTGGTGCTTGAAGCTTTTCACTGGCACCAACTTTCGGCGTTCACAGCGACAGTGACGAGTGAAGGAGACACGAGCGAACAAAATTAGGGAGGCGGGGGCGCGCGGAGGCGACGAGAGAGAAGGTAAACAAGTGAAGCGGCGAAATCTAAACTGAATATAAACATTATATCGATATATACGATATGTCAGAATTCATATCGAGTTTAAAAACTATCTTGATATATTTAAAATATCGATATATCGCCCACCCCTACTCACAACAATGTTTCAAGTACATAGGATTTACTAGATTCATTAGTCTTATAACTTTATATTGAAAATTCATCTACAATTTGATACTTTTCTCTCTGTGTATCGAATGGATACCGCAATACACACTTGCTCCAATACTTTATAAAGATGTCTGTGAATCTCCCAGAGTTCAAATGAGCATGATTGACATGTGGATTAGCCAGTCAGAGACATTCATGGTTTGTCTTTATCAAAACAAGTGGCTGCTTATGAGGAAAAAAGAAAAAAATATCATAAAAGACTGAAAAGCATTGTGAATTTCTCAAAATCAATGAATGAAGCACTAAACTCTGTTAATCTGAGATGAGAGAAGTTTGATTTTGTTCAAAATAATGTGCGACCAATGAGCTCCTTCAGTAGACTAACGGAAACAAGACTCACAATTTTTGCCCCAGTTTTGCCCCTATGACCATCACCACTCACACACCACATTCGTACGTACTGCCCAAGAACATTATGAAATATTAAGGCTAAGGAGTAAAAAGTACTCACATAATAAGAATAATATGGGACCAAACAACTGTGTTTTCAGAGCACCATTTTGTTTGATTTGAGTGTGGTTGTTGTATAGAGATAGCTGCATTTCTGTATTGTAGTCTTAACACTATGTCATGTTTCATCTGTTTTAATCCACGTTAGTCTAGAGTATCATGTGTTTACAGCACAGAGACACGGATGGTCACTGCGGCTTTTACTCATAATATCTATATTTATTCACATGTGTTTAGATTTTGTTCTGGTTGTGTTTATACTCATCATTTGATTGTGATTTTCAACAAAAACAAAAATAATCTTCAGCTGACATCAACTGTTGTGATGCGTCATGTGTTTTAGACGATTAAAACTTGGCATTTAATAAAAAAACACTAGAAAAACACACTATTGCTGGGTTTCAGATAACATCACAACATTCTATAGGCCAATATTATTTAATACAAACAAGGGGCAGCCAAAAATACAATAGTACAAATTTTTAAAAAGGTGTTATATAGCAAGTTCTAGGGTCTGGTTATTGATAGAAATGATTTAAGCACCATATTGTATTTGTAACTAACCCTTCATAAGAAAGTACAATGGAATGATGAAATAAGATGGAGGCCTAGAGACAGATTTCCCTATTAATAAAATTGTATTTTATCTTGAAATATCAAAAGGTTTATTCACAAATCTTTTAAAGTAATCTTTTCTATCGATGACTGAACCCATTAACATGCTTTATTACAACAAAAACCTACATTTTATCTGTATTTACTAGGGATCGGACCAAAAAGCAGAACCCAACATAGGTAAATTAAAGAGGTTTTATTTTACAGGTGAAGAGGGAACTACATAGACCATAATCCTTTGCTCCATTTCAGTGCATGAAGAAATGACTGTTCTAAGCACTTTTAAGTCTTAGTTCTTTGGGTGAAGTCTTGTCAAGGCATTTTAAGAGGAAAAAGTTGCGTATTGACAGTTTTGTTAGCCTCTACAAAATATTACAATAAATATCGTACTGTGAGATGCATATCATGAAAATATCGTACAGAGAGATTTGGATATTGTCACATCCCTATTGGTAATAGTTTGTCTATTGTGTCACTGCTGAACATTCCGCCATAGACATTCATGCAGATTGCAGAACACCCCCAGGCTGATCTCACTGCAAAGAATCAGTATGCACTGCTCTAATTCAAATAAATACAATACATGTTTTGTATGTATAAAACAGGTGTCAGAGTCCCGCGTGGTGGAGTGCCCCAGTATCCAGATCACCACCATCTCCCCAGAGGACGATACCCCGAGCCTGTCCTCCTGCTGGGACATCAACTCTGGAGGAGGAGGAGGTGAGAACTGGGACAGATCAGGTTTATATGGGAGAATTTGCTGTTTAAAGGTCCTATATTTATTACGCAAAATGGATTTCTGTGAAATTTTAACCGTGTTATAATGCTCCTACCTCCTCAAAAACAAACCTGGAGTTGTGTTTTATTTCATTCACACATCTTTGAGTAACCCTTTATTATTATTCTGTCTACATCTCCAAAACTCAAAATGCTCTGTTCCACCTTGTGATGTCATGAAGAAGGAGTTTTCAAGTTAACAGCTCCTTTTACTTTTAGTTCAGTAGAGATTAGTCATTCCAAGGCTGAAATTATCCCAATGAGTCTAATGAAGGTGTATGGAGTATAAAAACACAGTGGAGCACTTCATTACCACATCATCATGACATCACAAGGTGGAACAGAGTGTTTTCTATTGAAAAGAAGAATTCTGGTTAAAAATGGTATTCAGGGTTTGTGAGTTAAACATGCGTGAATGAAACAAAACACAACTCCAGGTCTGTTTGTGATGAGGATTTCCTTTAACTGTCAGATTAAAGATTTATTGACCTGGGTTATTATTAATATCTCTTTAACAAAAAATGGCACACAAATTTAGTTTCTTCTGTCAAAATAAATAAACAAAAGAAGAATATTTATTTTCATAATGGCCTCAGAAAGTGGTGCTATTATTCAACTCAAAGATTGTCAGTTGAATCATAACTCTTTTCTCTTCTCCACAGTGTGGGACAGAGAGCGTCTGTACCTGCCCCTGCTGGACCCGTTCTCCTACAGAGACCGCAGCCCCGGTTCTGTGAGTCCGAGTCCAGTCTCCAGCCCCTCATCTCGGGGCTGGCTCAGTCCGGCCTCCAGCTGTGACTCACTGTCTGTGGAGGACGACGAGCTCAATGAGGCCACAGTGAACTTTGGCCTGTCCCCTCAGTCCAGACCCACGTCTCCGGGAGGAAAGAAGAGAAGGAACAGCCCCCTGGCATCGCCCTGCACGTCCAGAAGGGGGAGCTACTCTGAGGACACGCAGGGGGAGGTGGGTGGAGTCACTACATGTGTACAAAGTCATATTAAGTCGAAGTTATCAGGAGTATTCATTGAGCCACACAATTCACCTAAATTTAGTCTAGGAAAAGTTAATAATAATAATGCATTAGTCTTGTAGAGCATTTTTCCAGATGCTTGAAGTTGCTTTACAATTTGTGCATTATTCCTTCACTCCACACTCAGTAGTGGTAAGCTACAGCCACAGCTGCCCTGGGACAGACTGACAGAAGGGAAGCTGCCAGTTTGCACCATCTGCCCCTCCGATTTCTGACTATCACTTACTTACCACATTCATACTATTCAATGTGGGTCAAGTGTTTTGCCTAAGGAAACAACAAAAGTTTCCACTAGAGCCAATAGCGCCCCTCTGTGGCACCTGATATTCCCAGCTGTCTCCCATCAAAGGCCCTGCTTAACTTCTGAGAACTGATGAGATCAGGCTTTGACAAGGAGGTTTAGGTTAACTGAAATTAGCCTGTTGTTTCTTATTTCACAGGGATGTAATATTGAAGGTGGAGACTCCAACTCCCTAAACCAGGGTCCAGTCCTGTGTGAGCTCAGTGTCCCTCAGAAAACCAGGAAGACCTCACTGGAGCAAGTAAATAAAGAGACAAAATGTTTTATATTCAAATTATTACTCTGCATGAATAAAAGACAAATATATTTCTAAATCCCATATTCCGTGTTTTTGTGTCAGTTATCCCCGCGGGAGGTGGATCAGGAGCAGGCTCCAGGACACACCTCCCCCTGCCCACTGCCCGAGCCTCCTCTGCCCAGGAGAGAGGCCCCTCCTCTGGGCATGGACTACCTCCCTGTGCCCCCCGCGCTGGTGTGGGGCAGGACCAGGGCCAACGCTCACAGCCCTCTGTTCAGGTACATACACAACTTCTGCTTTATAAACATGATGGAGGTGAGGAAAGATGATACCTTAAAAAAGATCTAATAAACTCTTCAGTCAGTTAAAATCACTGAAAAGTATGCATATCTTGGTTCTTGTTGTTATTGCTTTGTCTGGAATGTTTCACAGTATGACATTAAACTTTTCTGTCTTCATGGAGACCAAACCAGACCAAGTTACGGGTCAGATCTGTGGAGAGGCGACCCCGCTCACAGACAGAATGTTTGTTTTTCTAGGTATTTATGAGCTATAAAACCACCTGTAATTGAATAATTGTGAAGTAGAGCTGTTTAATGTCCATAGAAACAGGCAGGTGACAGACCCTCCACCTGGAAAGTTACACAATGCACCTTTAATGCATACTGGTTGTGTCCTTGGGCAAGACACTTCAAAACACTTTACCCTCATTGCCTGTATGTATATTTAAAATTTTGTTGAATTAATTGTTGTAGAGAAGACCATGACGCTGGATTTCAAACACAGGAGAAGTTTATATATATTAGTAGAATAGTTTATGGCATGTGTTACATATTCTATATGTGTAAATATCTTGATGTATTCCCTGTAGGTCGACAGCCCTGCCTCCTCTGGACTGGCCTCTGCCCTCTCAGTTTGATCAGTTTGAGCTCAAGATCGAGGTGCAGCCCCGACCTCATCACCGCGCCCATTATGAGACAGAGGGCAGCAGAGGGGCAGTGAAGGCCACGCCCTCCGGACATCCAGTTGTAAAGGTACATGTACGGCAAATCAAGGATTAAATCTAAAGAATGTGGATTTAAACATATGTAATCCCTCTCCCCTCTCCTCTCCCTCACAGTTGTGTGGATACTCGGAGCGAAAGCCTCTGTCTCTCCAGGTGTTTGTGGGCACAGCCGATGACAGATCCGTGAGACCACACCCTTTTTATCAAATACACAGGTAAATTTCTCATTCACAGTATTATAGTCTCAGAAGGCTCTAGACCAACTCTCCCCAACCTTTTTACTCTAAGGACTGGTATTAAAGCTCATTATGATGGTGGGCGCTACTTCACTCGATGATCCTGTTTCTACATCTTTGGTGATGAAGCAGATTCATTAGGGTTAGAACCGTAGGCTTTAGAACTGTACTCAAAACAGCTTTTACCAGCGTCCACTGGTGTGTGGTGATGCTCATCCATTTGACTGTCCATTGAGGAAGTACAATATTCCCCTTGTGCCTCTTAAAGCCATTGGAGCTTGCCCTCAGATGATCTCCTCTGCGGTGGTGTTTCCAGGGGGAGAACCAAGGGCGTGCTACACACGGATTTACCCAATTTAGCTATTAGAGCAGTAACACTGAAGAACACTAACTTTTCTGCAGTTTGAAGTTCCTTTTAACAGATAGGTCATATTTTCCTGTGGGTCCTTGTTCTAGATGGCTTGCTGGTGGTTGGGGAGCCCTGCTTTTGATCACTGCATTCTGAGCTTTACATTGGTGAATTGTTGTATTTGTGTTTTTAGAGTGACTGGGAAGATGGTGGGTACTGCGTCTCATGAGAGTGTTCAGGCTGGGACCAAACTGCTGGACATTCCGCTCACAGCAGAGAACAACATGAGCGCCCTGTGAGTATTAGACCATCTGATACTTTACAAAATGATATAAAGTTACAAGGAGGACCTCTGACCTCTTCAATTCAAAACCTTAGATTAGATTAGATTAGGTTCATTAGATCTTCTGCAATGATTATAGTTTAGATTTGTATGCCCAGACTTCAGTTTGTTTCATCCCTTGATAGTTTTGGCTCCATTTCCTCACAAGTGTCACATGATGTTGCTGTGACGTGTTTGCTCAGATTTTGGTGCTGTTTTCCTACAACAGCGCCACCTGCAGTCTGACTTCTTCAGAACTGTATTGCAGGTGTGAGAGAGTTGATACACCCTTTCATCCTGATTAACATGGTACCATCTCTCCCTCTCCTTTTTCTCTCCTCTCCCTCTCCTCTCTCATCTCTCTCCTATTTCTTCTCTCTCCTGTCTCGCTCCCTTCCTTCTCTCTCCTCTCTCCTATTATTTCTCTCTCTCCTCTGCCTTCTTTTTTTTTCTCTCTCCTCTTCCTTCTCTCTCCTCTCTCTCCCCTCTTCCTTCTCTCCTGTCTCTCTCCTCTTCCTTCTCTCTCCACTTCCCTCTGCCTTCTCTCCTCTCCCCTCTTCCTTCTCTCTTCTCTCTCCTATGCCTTCTCTCTCCTCTTCCTTCTCTCTTCTCCTTCCTCTTCCTTCTCTCTATTCTCTCTTCTTGCTCTCTTCTTCCATCTCTCTCCTCTTCCTTCTCTCTCTTCTCTCTCCTATGCCTTCTCTCTCCTCTTCCTTCTCTCTCCTCTTTCCTCTTCCTTCTCCCTCTTCTCTCCTCTTGCTGTCTTCTTCCTTCTCTCTCCTGTCTCCTATGCCTTCTCTCTCTTCTCTCTCCTCTTCCTACACGCTCCTCTCTCTTCTCTCTTCTCTCTCTCTCTCTTCTCTTCCTCTCTCTCTCTCTTCTTCTCTCTCTCTTCTTCTCTCTCTCTCTCTCTCTCTCTCTCCTTCTCTTCTCTCTCTCTCCTCTCTCTCTCTCTCTCTCTCCTCTCCTCTCCTCTCTCCTCTCTCCTCTCTCCTCTTCTCTCTCCTCTCTCCTCTCTCTCTTCCTCTCTCCTCTCTCTTCTCTCTCTCTCTCTCCTCTCTCCTTCTTCTCTCTCTCTCTCTCTCCTCTCCTCTCTCTCCTCTCCTCTCTCTCTCTCTCTCTCTCTCTCCTCTCTCCTCTCTCTCTCTCTCCTTTCCTCTCTCTCTCTCCTCTCTCCTCTCTCTCTCTCCTCTCTCTCCTCTCTCTCTTCCTCCTCCTCTCTCTCTCTCTCTCCTCTTCCCTGTCTCTCCTCTCTCCTCTTCCTGCTCTCTCCTCTCTCCTCTTCCTCTGTCTCTCCTCTCTCCTCTTCCCTGTCTCTCCTCTCTCCTCTTCCTCTCTCTCTCCTCTCTCCTCTTTCCTCTCTCTCCTCTCTCCTCTTCTCCTGTCTCTCCTCTCTCCTCTTCCTTCTCTTTCTCCTCTCTCTCTCAGCATTGACTGCGCTGGGATTCTGAAGTTGAGGAATTCGGACATCGAGCTGAGGAAAGGGGAGACAGACGTTGGGAGGAAGAACACCAGAGTACGTCTGGTGTTTCGGACTCACCTCCCTCTAGCGCCCCCTGTGGGCCCCCCAGGACGAGTACTGGCCCTGCAGGTGGCCTCTCTGCCTATAGAGTGCTGTAAGTTACACAAGACAAAACCAGTGCAGTTTTTCATGTAAACGCAAATGTAAAAATCTATTTATGCAATTACAGATCACAGTAATAATGCAAACATGCATTATTACTGTGATGGGTATGGGATCTCCTCTCCACAGATCTAACATGTAACTGACCTGCTTGTCTCTGTGTGGATAGATGTCGATAGATATTTAATGCATTACAGTGGAACATTCCAAGCAAAACAATAACATCTCCATGCAAACATGCAGGTGGCATATGCCCTCACCAGAAAAATTTAAGTTTAAGGCTGCATTTATATGTTGATGGTCTGAACAGAAGACACAAAAGTGGCGTCGCATCTTCACTTTTTATTCTGTGTTTAGACAAACGTTTTCAGGAGGAAATCTGCATGCATACGGTGAAGCAAAAGTGTGTGGAATTCGATTGTGTATGCATGTCAGGCGGTTAGGTGAGGATGCTAGGTGATGATGTATGTGATGTGATGTGAGCAGATCTGACCAGAGTTTTGCGTCTTGGGCAGTGTAGACGGAAACTTTTCCACTCTGGAGGGTGGTTTCAGACTTTTGCATTTTTAATCCCTAAAAACGCCGTCACCTTCTAAATGAAAGGCACTTCCGATAAAATATTTTGTCGTTTCTACCTGTAAGCGTTCTCGTTTAAACAGGCCCTCAAGTGAAAACAATAATAGCAAGCCATATAATAGTTTATATTTACATTGAAATTAAATGGGTTTTCATGGGTTTCCACTTCCTGTTGTATGGTGCCATTTTGAGGACTGTGAGCTGTTCAAATGATCAGTCAATATTACATTTTTTGTCCCTGAGGGTTAATTTAAACACATTAATAAGTAAAATACAATAGTAATACAAATATATATGATGATGATAATAATAAAAAAGCTTAAACTAAAGTCTCAGTGGAGCTCTACAGGTCAAGTCATCAGATCAGTGTCAGGGCGAGTTGAGGAGAGTAAACTATGTCCTAACTTTTCATTGTTCTGAAACCATGGATAAAGATTTAGCCAACTTTATATATATCGAGCTAGATTTGTATAGAAGTTAAAGGTGCACTATGTAACTTTTCTGGTGGCGGGTCTGTTGAATGTTTTTCTCTGTGGAGATGTCATTGCACTGCCTGAAAAGTTCCACTATATGACATTAAAGAGGTCCACCTTACATTTATTCATTTATTCCACTCTGCTCAGTCTGTGGAGGAGTTTAAATCTAAACTAAAATCACAGTTTTTTGCTTTGAGTTTTAATTCAATGTAGACCAGGTCATCTTTTATGTAACGTTAATATTGTACTGTATTTTTGTGCATTTCTACTATTCCACTGTTTTCTTATGTATTTACTTACCTGCACAGCACTTTAGTTACCTGTGGTTGTTTTAAATGTGCTTTATAAATACATTCTACATTCAATTTGACATTGACTTATAAATCCTTAATAATCCTGACATATTTCCTGCCCTCAGCCCAGCGCTCGGCCCAGGAGCTGCCTGTGGTGGAGTCTCTGAGTCTGACCTCGAGTTCGGCCGAAGGAGGAGACGAGCTGCTGCTGAGCGGAACCAACTTTCTCCCCATCTCCAGAGTAGTGTTCATGGAGAGAGGAACAGGTCAGAAAGACGATATTGAAAGGGCCCATATTACACGATTTTCTGATCTGTTCTATGTATAACATGGCTTAAAGCTCACAAGAGTCAAATTTGTGTAATATAGGACCTTTAAATATATTTCTTTAGGGTAGTCAGAAAAATAAATGTCCAGATAATAATTGATACAAAAAACGAGTAACAAAAGTAGATATTTGATGTATGCCGGATTGTTAAAAGTATTGAAATTCAGTTACTAATTGAAACTACAGTAGATTGTTTGAGCAGGTACGATACTAAAAAAGTCCCATTGACAGGACAGAAATGAGCCTTTCCTGAAAAGCTATAGAATGAAGTTGAGCTGTATCAGAACAAGTATAAAAGCATATAGATTAGTATATACACCCATGGACCACTATGGAACCTACCTGGACCACTGAGGGATTACACACATATGAGGCCACATGGGAGGAGAAAAGAAAATACTATGATTTAACGCTGAAAATCACATTCTATAGTCTAAAGAAAGAGATCAAGTTTGAAAATGTATTGTCTGTATTGCCTTTGATTTATTGTTATTGTTTTTCAGATGGGAAGGTGCAGTGGGAGGAGGAGGCACACGTCGACAGAGACAACAGCAGTGAGGTAACATAAACCAGAAATGATGCTTTCAACTTTCATCTGTGTTTGAATATGCGTGATGAGCTGTGATCCAGATGCTAACCAGGAGTAAACCAGCTGTGACCTTGGACCAGCTAAGATTTTACTATAAACAAGGATGTAACCTTTTACAGATGGAGTTTTGTAAACACAAATATAAATCATTGAATTGTTATTGAATGGTTATTAATAAAAAACTTCACCTCTTTGTGAGGTGTCCATGTTATTTATCTCCATGGAGATTATATTGCTTTGCCTGGAGTCTGTCATATTATGGCATTGCCTCAAAAAAACCTTGATAAATTTGAATTCTCACTGTAAGTGTTGTTGCCTCCACTGATCTGACCCGTAACTCACACTGGTCGTGGCACCTGCTTGGCTCTATGGAGATAGGTATCTTTAATGTTATACTGTGGAACAATTAATGCAAAGCAATAAAACATCTCCATGGAGACAACAAGCAGGTGGTGTATCCCCCACCAGTAAAATTTGATTTGATTTATTTATATATTAAATATTGTACCAGAAAAGTCAACACACCTCATCTGTAATGATGAGCTGCTCAAGAGGCAACATTAAACAACACAAGCAGTCGTGACATGAGACAGTAAAGCAAAGATAAAAATGTTGCACAGTGCACCTGTATGTCTAAAACAAAGAGTTCTTAAAGTAGTTTTAGAACCCTCAATAATGTACACTAACCAAATAGGTGAATCAGGGTGCACTCACACTAGGACTTTAGAACCATGCCCAGGTACGGATCACCCCTAAAGTGCAATACATTTGTCCAGTGTGACTGCAGTCAGTCCTTGCCACGTGCAGCACGGTTGGGACTTCAGCCCTGTTGGAGGAGGTGGGGCAAAGCTTGGCAATGCTGAAAAAGAGTGAATAAAGTCTGCTCCAAAACTCCACGCTCACTTTCAATATGGACTATGACAGAGGCTAAAGTTTTTCAGCCTCATCTCCTCCTGTCCTCATTCCTCCTCCCTTCCTCACTCCTCCTTCCGTCCTCACTCCTCCTTCCGTTCTCACTCCTCCCCCCGTTCTCACTCCTCCTCCTGTCCTCACTCCTCGGTGCTGTTTTTATACCCATAAACTCACAGAGGTGCTCATATCGAGCAGGACTCATACCTGTCTCACTATTTAATAGATATTTCATGCCACTAAAAGCTTTTAGCTCTGCTGCGCAGCATGTAAACAAACATCGGCTCAGTTTGATTGTGCAGGTGTGAGTGTGACCATAGAACACTACGCAATCATGCTTTAACAGGGCATGGTACAAAAGTCCTAGTGTGAGTGTCCCCTTAGAACACTTTCAGGTCCTAGTTTGGTCCTGTTATACTCCTGGGTTATTCTTGGTCTAGGTTTACTTCCATGTTTAGTCCAAGGTTTGTCCAAGTTTTGATGTGTTGACTGTACAGATCTGAATACCCCGTCACCATAAACACCTGACTCTGTCTTTGCCTCAGTGCCTGCTGTGTGTACGAGTCCCCGCCTATAGTGACCTCTCTGTGAATCGCCCAGTCTCCGTCAGTTTGTACGTCTCCAACGGAAAGAGGAAAAGAAGCACCACTCACTCATTCAAATATCTTCCCAGTAAGTGACGTTTGGCAGTGCTCACAGACTTGAAAGGAATGCACCCTGTTTAATAGAAGAAAGCTGGAAATACATTTTTGGGGGTTCAGTATTTATCGTGTGTACTTTTTCTTCACATGACGGTGGAAGATAATTAGTTTCATCAGATTTTGAATTTGGATTTAAAATTCAAAATCTAATGGAACAAATAATATTTGACTATATGATAAAAGACTATTCTATGGTTCATTACAGATGCAAAGTAAGCAGTGTTTCATTCTGCTGTTTTTTTTTATTCATTTAATTTATTTAATAATCCTAAATGGCATTATTGTAGAATAGAAACTGTTTTTACTGTAACTTGTATATAGAAGTAACATTTACTTGCTCAGTTCAAGACAATCAGTTTCCATGGTTTTACTAAGTAAGATAAACTTACTCTTAAAGTAAAGGTTACTACATGTTGAACTGGATGATTCATTGGCACAGCTTCACAACATGATTTTTATGAATGGAAACTAAAGTACTCTTCACTTGCTGTGCCTAGTTTGATGAAAGAGAAATTTACTGTACACTACACTGAGGAATTACTTGTAGCTCAGCTTTAGATTCACATTCGACTTAAGTCACATTTTTCAAGGTAATTGGTTTCCTAGATTTTTTCACGGTCAAACAAACAAGTGGTTTGCAGTGCTTAGAATTTCTAAAACTCAGTGAAAGAAAAAACTTTAAACTAGTGTTTGAAATTGTGAATCTGATCAACCTATATTATATGTTCTTTATTATTTTTTCTTCTCTGTCTCCAGTCATGTTCAAAGAGGCCGACCCTCTCTTACCTCGCCCTTCTACTCTTCCTCTGGACTCTCTGCACCCACCTCCCGTCGACCACCGGGGGGCGCACCAGCTGCGCCCCGAACCCTCCAACGAAGACCGCTCCCTGGGCTTCCACTTACCCCTGTACCCCTACTCCCCTCCATGCCCCTCCATGCTCTACCCGGACGATTCCTCCTCTTTCTCCTCCTTCTCCTCCTCCTCTAAACCCGAAGCAGTGCCCGTGGAGGACACCAGGGGGGTACTATCCGAACGCCAACCCAGCTTCGAGAACCTAGAGTTGGGGTTCACCGAGCTCCTTCCCCCCTTCTACCCCCGCGGTCCCCAGCCTCCCTCCCCTTCGCCGTGGCTGGACTCTCCATATTTATCTTCCTCACCCTCTCCTTCGCACTCCTCCTCTCTCAGTCCGTTCCCGGCAGGTAGCCCCATCTCCTCCTCTCCCTTACCCCCCATGCCCTCCTCGCCCTACCCACAATTCCACTCGGTTTACCCCCAAGAAGTGTGCCCGTCGCCCCCTCCGCTGCTGTCCAGTTCGTCAGGTCACTACCAGGACATGTGCCCGGTGCAGTACTCGCAGTTCGATTCGTGGGAGATGCAGGGGAGACATGGAGGAGACCGAGAGGGGAAGGCACTAGACTGCCCCCTAGAGTTCAACAGCTCAACCACCATGCAGCACATCACATTTGAAGAAGGTGGGTGCAATATTAGAAATGCAACTATTACGGATGTAACAATAACCAAAATATCGTGATATCGTATCATCAAAAGTCTCACAATAATATCCTGGACCATCACAATAATCACATGTTTATTTGCTTGAATTCATTGTTATGGTGCGGTAATAGCTAAATAACAGAGGGAACTACATAGACCATAATCCTTTGCGCTTTTTCAGTCTAATCTACATGTTGAAATAACAGTTATTAAGCACTTTTAAATTTTAATTATTTGGATTATGACAAGACAAAAGTAGCATATTCACAATTTTGTTAGCCTTCCTAAAATATCGCAATATCGTAAAAGTATTGTATCAAGAGAATTGGATATCGTTACACCCCTAGCAACTATATATAAATGCAGCTAGAAGTGTTAGAAGTTCTAAATGAGGCATAAAGGTGCGTTGTGTAACTTCTGGGGGAGGGTTCGTTTTCTTTTTCTGGAATGTTTTGCAGTATAACATTAAACCTTTCTAGCTTCATGAAGACCAAACAAGACCAAGTTACAGGTCACATCTGTGGAGAGGCAACCCCGCTCACAGTCAGAATGATAAAACCACCTGTAATTAAATAAATGTAAAGTAGAGCTGTTTAATGTCACACTGTGGAACATTCAAAGCAGAGCAATGACATATCCACAGAAACATGAAGGTGACAGACCCTCAAATGAAATGTTACACATTGTACCTTTATGAAAGAAGGCCCGTTATGCAAAATCGACTTTTCAGATCTTTTTACTCTGTCACGGTTATTTTTCTTTTGATTTACCCTCTCAAATTAGTAGTATTTATCGTGTTTTGTGCATGTTTGAGTATTCTTTATTCTCTTGTATTGAAGATGTCTCGTTTTCATTGGCACTAGTACACACCGACTGCTCTGTACTTACTTCGTTCATCAATTTTATTTTCTTAATCTTAGACTTAGACTTAAACAAACATTATTGATGCACAAGGGAAATTATTTGGACACAGAAGCTCACTCATCACAATATAATAAAATAACAATGGGTAAAAAATATAAATGGTAATAATAAATTCCGAATAAGTAGCAAGAAAGATAGTAAGAGACAGGTGTCAAATAAGACATAATTATATAAATCTAAATACAGTACAGTACAGTAAAAATCAAATAGAAAGATAATAATCAGTGATACATGTAGGATTTGGCAGCGTCAGTCAGTCTGCCCCAAGACAGCTGTGACTGCAGAAATAGCATCGCACCAAATCTGAGTCGAGTGGATGAATGATGCTGATTGCAAATTTAAAGGCAACTTTGAGGCTAGATTGAACCAACCAGATACAAATTATAATAGCTCAGTGGGGCGACAGTAGCTCAGTTGGTAAGAGCGTTTGTCCACTGATCAGAAGGTTGGTGGTTTGATTCCAGCTCCCACAGATGAATGCTGTTGTTGTGTGCTTGGGCATGACACTTAACCCACCCAGCCCTCACTCTCTGCTTACAGTGATGTGTAAATGTGTGTGTGAATGTGTCAGCGGTTCCTTGTTGCAAAACGCTTTGAGTGACTTGAAGGTGGAAAAGCACTATATAAAAATTTGACCATTTAATACTGATTTAGATAAAATGTTGTCAAGTGTAGATGTTTAAATTAAATTAAAAAAACTGAATTATGGCCTAGTTAAAAGCTTGTAGCTCCCTTTAAATGTATTGTCTTTGAGTGTTTTTATAAGTGATTTCTAAACTTTAATACTTTAAAGAGCTGTCAAAGGTATCGAAAATAAGATTCTAATCAATACTAAAACTAGTATCGAAACTAGATACTCATTTGAGAAGGTATCGATACTGAAAAAGTTCCATTGACAGGAGAGAAATGAAGCTTTCCTGAATGTCTTTAGAATGATCTTGAGCTGTATTAGAACAATTTTAAGAGCACATGAACTAGTATACGCTCATGGACCTGGTTTAGACCTGGTTTAGACCTGGTTTAGACCTGGTTTAGACCTGGTTTAGACCTGGTTTAGAACTGGTTTAGAACTGGTTTAGACCTGGTTTAGACCTGGTTTAGAACTGGTTTAGAACTGGTTTAGACCTGGTTTAGACCTGGACCACTGAGGAATAAGGCCACATGGGAATAGAAATGAAAATACTACGATTTACTGTTGAAAATCACATTCTATTGTCTAAATAAAGCAGGTTTTTTATTATTATCATAGCATCAGAATGAGTATTGAGTACCGAGCACTTTGTGTTGCATTTTGTATGAAAAGTGCTTTATAAATAAAGTGTAATTTGATTTGATTTGAGTCTATTCTTTAGTATGGAAATGTTACCGTGCAACATAATACTTAATATATTACACGTTATTGAAGCATATTGTTTTGCTGGTATTGATCCATAATAATTCTTTTTTGCTTCCTTCACAGTGACGGAGCTGATTGGAGAGGACTTACACTCATACCATTCGACACAAATGGAAAACCAGCAAAACTGAACCTGGACTCAAACATCAGAGTAAACCTGAGGCACATGGATTTAAACCGCATTGGGCTAAAATGTTTTGATTGTAAAAAATAATGTAATGAAACCACCAAGAACAATGTTTTTAAAGTATTTTTAACACATTTGGAAGATAAATTATGTATTAAAGTATTTAGTGTTGTTTCTTTTTTTCGCATAACTCAAATATTGATTCTCAGAACATGTTTTCTGAGGGTTCAAATATAAGACCCCATTATATTAGTTAAACAACTGATACTTTGCAGCTAATATCATTCTCTGGGGGTGTGATGCTAAATTTAGTCACTGCTCTGTCTCAAATTAGACTTGAAAATTGACTGGATATGAAACTACAACAGGTGAGCTGATTTGTGCTGTTAAGCAAGACTCTCGCACTTAAATTTACACTCACAGGCTATCCAGCTTTAGCCGACAGCTTTTCAGTTGTTTTTGTTAAAGATCAAACTCCTAAGCAGGACCATGAACGCTCATAAAAATGTGTTATTAATCTTTTTTTTCCACATTTAGGCTGAGTTCTTCTCTCAAATGGAAAAAACTGTTCCACCTTGTGATGTCATGTGGTAATACTGGAAGTGCTCCACTGTGTTTTTAAACTCCACACACGTTTATTAGAACTGTATGGATGATTTCAGTCTGGGATTTCCAATCTTTACTGAACTAAAGGAAAAAGGAGCTGTTCACTTGCAGAAACACAGAAAACTACTACTAAATGACATAACAAAGTGCAACAGAACATTTTGAGCTTTGTTGATTCAAGACTTATAATGCAGGATTACCCAAACATGTGTGAATGAAGTAAAAGACAACTCCAAGTCTGTTTTTGAGGAGGTATCAACATTATAACATGACTTAACGCTCACAAGAGTCCATTTTGTGCAATATAGAACCTTTAAGTTACTTTTACTTGAGTTATACTTTTCCCAAATACTTTTTAACTCTTCAGTAATTTATTGGAGCACTACTTTGCACAATATTATTTTGAAGTAACCTTACTTGAATACAACTTTTAGCTTCTCTACCTTCTCAAATCTCTGAAGAGTCGATTTTACTTAATACGCTCTCTTTAAGATCCTGAAGCCTTCCTCTTGTTTTGATAGATAACCGTTTAAAAGCTCCGGAGTGAAAAGTGAAGACGCTAAACCTGCCTTCACCGTGCCCCTGACAGCTTTACGGCCGAACATATGGAGCGGCATGTCCTTATAAGGGCGTGTTTGGACGGAGAGACTGAGACAAACCAGGGATGGACCCGTACTGATGTTCTGGCAGCAGCAGAGCCCTGGTGTAAAACGTGTAAAGGTTTTTTAATGGTTTCTGAAGTTGTAATTCGTCACTGACAACGACTTTCCTCCACGTCGACCCATGAAAGAATGGAAAAGTTCACGTGAGGTAAAAAAAAAAATTAAGTGTGAATGAGAACACTGTATGGTTCCTATAGCCAGATGTGGTGAGTGTACTGTGTAACCGTTTGGTTGGGGGTCCGTTACCTGCTTGTTTCTATGGAGATGTCATTGATCAGCCTGGAATGTTCCACAGTGTGACATTAAACTAGCCTGATTCATCAACCGGTTTCACTTCGTCGAAACTGTCTGATCTCGCAGCATTAGGATTCGTTCGCTCAACAGTACTTTATTTAACCAGTCGCTGCTGTTTGGTCATGACATTTGTAATGCACCAAATCCCGTAGGAAGAAGGACAATAATGTCTTTCCTCTTGATAAAATTCACCAAACATTCTCTTTGTTCCGGCTTTAAATCCTCGATTTTGGGAATCGTTGTCCACACAGAATGTATGACTTCGTCTACATCCATCTCGACCCCTTTGTTTACTGTTGTGTTGTACCACAAAAAGGACCCAAACAGACGCTTGAGTTTGACGTCATGGCTTCACAGCTCACAGCTGATTGGCTAATGCGCTTAGTTGCATGACCTGACCTTGTCGCTGGAGAGAAATTAAATTGAGTGATACTAGGTGGCACCAGCCTGGCTAACATTAAACTGATCTACTTTACATTTATTCAATTACAGGTGGTTGCCTCTCCTCAGATCTGACCTGTAACTTGGTCTGTTTTGGTCTCCATGTATATAGAAAGGTTTAATGCCATACTGTGAAACATTCCAGATGAAGCAATAACATCTCCATGGAGTAAAGTGTTTAACCGACCCTCCAGCAGAAAAATTACACAATTCACCTTTAAGTTACATTTATTCTGGGGTGGAAACAAATTACAAACATTCACATCCTATATCACACAAAATGGGCTCTTATAGTGTAGTATCCTTCTCAAAAACAAATCTGGAGTTGTGTTTTGTTTCATTAACACGCTTGAGTAATCCTGGTTTATTAGTCCAAAGCACAAAATGCTCTTTTCCACCTTGTGATGTCATGAAGTGTTTTTTGTTTTTTTTTTTAAACCTTCACCTTTTACCTTTAGTTAAGTAGAGATTTGCAATTCCAGGGCTGAAATCATTCAAACAATTCTAGTGAAGGTGGATGGAGTTTAAAAACAGTGGAGCACTTCCTGTATTACCACATGACATCACAATTTTGATGAGGAAACAACATAAACATAGATCAGAAAAAAGCGTAATATGGGCCATTGTGGATCAGTAAATTTGTCTAAATCAAATCTATGTCATTTGGCTTAAATGTAAAAAAAAAATAAAAAAACACATTTTGAGTATTTGTTTTGTTTATTTTATACAATGTACAGATCCAAATCCAGAATGATATAATCTCTATATTTTTATACAGTTGGATATTTACAACAAATTGAAGAAGTGTGTATTCTGGATCCCAGGCAAAAGTTTAATGCTATACTGTGGAAAATTCCAGGCAGAGCAATAAGATCTCCCTGGAGACAAGGCAGGACAGGGACTACATCAGAAAAGTTACAAAATGCACCTTTAGACTTTTGAAAATGCCACAATTTGTGAAATATTCAGTTTTATCTGGAGAAGTAAAAAAAACTTTGAACCAGTAGAGGGCGCCAGAAACCTCTCAAAAGCCCCCGGATGATTGACAGTCCCAGGTTTAGACTCTGAAACCTCCTGAGTCTGGTTCAGATCCTCCAGACCACCAGTGAGGACAGATATGAGATTTTACCCCTCAACAAGAAAGTAAGTGGGGTCCCAGAAGAAATGACTAACTCATGGCTATTTTGGGCACTACTACTACTACTTCTGCTACTACTATGTTATAATTATTACAACTGCTGCTACTATTCCATCTACAGCTACAATTAAAAGTCATAGAATTGGTCAAACTGGGAATCTTAAAATGTTTCCTCAAAAAAAACTTTGGAAAAATACCATTAAAAAACCAAATAGTACACGGACAATACGACTATTCATAAAACACTTTTCCACCTTCATTTTTACAAGTTCCCTGGAGTTCCCTGCCCTCCAATCAAACTAACACGTCTAGTTATTGGCAAGATGGGGGAAGTGTCTTGCCCAAGGACGCAACAATGGTGTTAATGCCAATATCAGCGGTATAGGGGGGAACAGTCTATAGATACACCACCTGCTTGTTTCCATGGAGATTTTATTGCTTTCCCTGAAATGTTCCATAGTATGACATTAAACACATTCATCTGGCATTTATTCATTATGGGTGTTTCTGCTTCTCAAAAATACAACAATTCCTTCTGTGAATAGAGGCGCCTCTCCACAGATCTGAACTGTAACGTAGCATAATGCTGTCATCTGCTTGTCTCCTTTGTGATAGACAGGTTTGATCTGTACTGTGGAACATTCTAGACACTGCTACGACATTCCCATGAAGACAAGCAGACAGTGTATGGAACATAATTTGTTCCATCAGATTTTGAATTTTAAATCTTGTGGAATTTCTCACTTTGATTTTTTTTAACTCTGAAAAAAGATTATTGAAATATATTTATTCTGAATTTTAGTTGCTGAAATTTTAAGTATACTTTTGTATATGTATATAATTGCTCCTTTTAAATATTCAGCACAAGTATTTTCAAGCCCTCATCTCACAAACTCTCCATCTCACTCCAAATCACTAAATCCATTGAATTCTTCATTCTCGATGTCACTTCTGAGCAACTCCGCGACCTCCAGAGGTAAACAGAGCACCTCTTCCTCTTCTGTGTCGCTGTCGTCAGACTCAGCATCAGTTCCAGTTAGAATTATTCCGGCCTTTCTGAATCCCGACAGGATGGTTTTGGTGTCACTGAAGTCCAGGCTTTGTCCATCCATCCAATGACTTCCAGGAAAGTTTCATGCTGCACTCTCCCGGTGTCACAATTTTGTCACTGACTCCAAACTTTCTTTCTGCTGCTCGATTACTGTTTTCAGCTGCAGATTTCACGACTTGCAGCATGTAATCTGCAAAATCTGATTTTCTTTTTGGGGGCATTTGTGTTCAGTCTTCTCAGTTGTCCTTATAAGTTTGTTTAAATTGTTCAGTGGTAAAGAAGTAATGGTGCGATCGACTGACATGATACAGACAGGACAGAGGCTCTTTCTGCAGGAGACATGTGCAGTAGAGTGAAGTGACAGTGGTACAGGAGGAACAGGAGCAGCAGATACTCACACACAAGACTAGAACCTCTCGCTGCTGTGAGTGTGAAAATTATGCTATATAAGTCGCAGTGGCGTACAAGTCGCAGGAAACACCCAAACCATTGAAAAAAGTGTGACTTATAGTCCAAAAAATACAGTAATTGGAATTTAGTTTAATTTAGCAATTACTGAGTAAACAACTTTTGTGCGTTTAAGTTGGCTGTGTCTGTGTTTCAGTTTCAGAGTGATGAAAAATTAGCACTGTTACCATGGCAATTACCAATTCAAAACAAAATATTACTAACATCTTGAATGGTCCTCAAAATGTCCCCTATAGCTGAAACTCATGAGTAGGGGCAGAAATGGCACTTTGGTCTCAGAAGTTTAAACATTTCTGCTGCAGTTCCATATGTGAGGGGGCTCCTATGGTGGTCTCTCTCTGCAGTACTTCAGAGGAGTGGAGGAGGGGGAGTGAAAAAGAGGAGGAGAGTGAGTGAAGGAGAGGGGGAGGAGTGTGTTTGATGGTGGTGAAGGACAGAACTAACATGGACGTACAGTATACATAGACTGAGAGAAGCAGATGTCAATGTATTCACACTGTTT